CATCAAAGCATAAGAAATGCTAATTGATACATAAACTATAGAGCGGTTGCGGTAGACTCTAAAGCCAGAGACAGTATGAGAATTGAAACTTCTTCAAAGCGAATAACATGGCATTGCGCTTGATAGCTGTTCTACTATTACTACTGTTCCCATTACAAAGTAGAAATCAAATCCAGTTATCGAAAGAACGCTCAGAAATCTAACTAAGCAGAAAATGATCCCATACGACAAAACCATGACTATAGAAAACCATAACCGCTCCTGGTCGGCTGTCAAGATTTATTACAAACAATATCAGCAATATCAGAATATAATTCCCAATTTCAAAGGCGCTTTTTTATCTTACCAAAGCGCCATCATTATGATAATCCTTGTAACAGGTGATAAGTCTAACTAAATAAAATAAAACAAACGAATGCGCCATATAATCAAACTGAATTCACATTTCAATTATGTCAAGGTCACACTATCGCTCACTCTCTACCAGCTTCAATTAGTCAGTCAGTTTTCACTATGCACACGTAATTTTACTCACACCCTTTTTAAACCTACCCTTTAATAATATAAAAAGCGCATTTTTACAATTTATTGTTCATACAACTGACAGTCTAGCTAACTGACTAACCAAGGGATAAAGTGGATATGCGCATAGGCAATAAATTTAACTAACACAGTAGCACATACACACATACATACATTCAAAACTTCATTTCATCTCCTAATCTTAGTTTTCTAAACAGTTTAACCCTGTACAATAGGTATTATAAAATACAGCATAACAAAAATAGCAGATAAGCTAGAACTGCATTAATCCATTACAGTGATACAGTCAGTGTATGTCTACATACACAAGTTTTAAGAGCGTATTCGCCATTCACAGCCTTTACACGAATCCTACTAATTGTGACAGATAAAATAATTTATACTACTAGTGATAATAAGCATTTTAAACATTTTCAGTATAATTTTAATAACTATTATAATGCGCTTGACACAACCATTTTTGTGAATAAAAAAGGAATATGTATCCTCAATGTGTGGGAGATTCCAATGTGAGATGAATTAAGAACATTTAAGTAGGCAAAGTAATCTCTTTATCTCACATATTGTAAACTTGGCTGATAGAATTTAGTCTGCAACACCAACAACACCAGGGATTAGGCGATTAGATGATATTAGTTACTTACCCGAGTGACAAATGAGTGTACTCCATTACAAACATAAAGGAGGTCAATAGCCGGTTGGTCCGAATAACTCAGTGGTACCGTTTTTGACTGCAGCGTTGGTTGACGCGTGATCGAACCCCAGAAGGGATATGAGATGGTTGCAGAGGTGGTAAGTGACAACAAGCACGAAACTTATGTTCAAGACTTCTTACAGACCGCCTTAAACCACTTAAGATCTCTTTCCCTAACTTCATATCATAAATGTACAATTATTTAAGGGTGTATATATACTATGTTAATTGACAACAAAGATAATAATAACAGATGTTCCACCAAGAGCTATATGCGATATGATAATTTCTCCCTACCGACTTACCTACTATATTTTACGCTACCAGCAGATAACATTTTGTCTCGTGTTTGGATGGAGTTCTCCTGGCCCCATGAATGATGTATTTTATTTGGTGGTGGTAGATGTCTTTATGAAACGGCCAGAGAAGAAAGCAGTTATATCTCCGACAGCAGTGTAGATTCTCAAGCTTTTATCTCTCAAGTTGTCTAGCGGAAGCAATGGTAACGGATAATGACTCGCAGTTCACTCCTCAAGAGTTTTAAGACTACTCCCGTTAATATGCCGTCAAACATATTTTCTCACCTCTATATCATCAACAATTTGTCAGCTCTTTGAAGACAGAGTCACTTAAATCAAGGAGAGAGGTGACATCACTTGACGACTTTTAACATTTTTCCTTGTATATTGCGTAACTATACAAAAAAAAATCCTCAGTAGAAATGCTTTATAGACATGAACTAAGGAGTATGCATACTGCCCAAAGAGGCTATGCATTTCGATCCGCTACCTAGGAATAAAATGTGTATTCGAGATAGGTAACACAGTTTACATCAATGATTATTAAACGGAGCACAAAGGCTGATATGGAGGCTTAGTAGCCAAAAGACAACAACAAGTTCATCAGGTGATGAAAGCTTCGCAAACTAACCATCCAGCTCAGAGAACAAAACCACATCAAAATCATCCACCTGAGCTACAAATCTTCTCTATCATATCTAAATCTTACGAGCGGGATACGCTTCTCTCTGTTCGAAAGTGGGAAGACTTCGCCAAAAGGCAAGGATCCACCAGAGAACAATTATTCTTTCTCCATGAGTGCCTTCGTCATTCAATCCTACCAAACAGTGTAAGATACAAACCACCAGTCAACTGCCCAATGGGATGGAAATTGGCCGAACAATGTGGAAGACGAATGGTCAAATTAATGATTACAGACGCACATTATCGGATCAACAAATATCAACAAATTATAGATATCCAAAAAGCAAAATTAGAGAAAACCCTCAACCAGAACACCTGTCAACGCTGATCACCGCAATTACACTGTCAAGTGAAAAACACAGAGAACAAAGACGAAGAGTCCTCAAAACCAAGCTAGCCAAGATTAGAAAACAACAACCAGACAATACGCCCATAGACTGCGTAGTCAACCTATCAAAACAACCACTATCAAAAATGGAACAACAACTACTACAAAAAGGATTAAACTACAACACCGGAGATGCTTCAAAAACTGATTTCTTCGCTGCCTTTGAATCATTACTCAAATCATCAAACTTGAACGAGGAAACACAGGAAGAGATACGCCAAACAATTGTACCAATGGTCAAACAGAAAAGACAACACACACAACTCAACGCTCAAGAACTAAAGGCCCTCAAAAAGCTGAAAAATAGGAAGGACATCGTCATTTTACCAGCCGACAAAGGAAGAACAACAGTAGTCATGGACAGAGAAGAATATACCAAGAAAGCTGAAGAACTACTCAAAGATGAAGATGTATATCAACAACTCCCAACAAATCCCATACAAACATTGGATAACCGCATCCAAAGGACCTTAAACAAGCTCACCAAAACTGGACAGATCACAAAACAAGACCAATGGCGAATGAAATCCAATGGACCAGTCCTACCCGATTCTACGGCAGACCCAAAATACACAAGGCAAATATCCCATTACGACCAATTGTATCACTCCCAGGAACTCCAACATATAATTTATCCAAAGAATTATACAGAAAACTAAAACACCTAACGGAATCTTGCGATCACTCCATCAACTCTGCTATCCAATTCCTAGAGAAAATCAGAGGCATCCAAATAGATGAACAAGAAATAATGGTATCATTCGACGTGACAGCATTATATACATCCATCGGACAAAACCTAGCAAAAGAAACCATGGAGCAATTACTTAGCAACGACGAACAACTTCCACAACAATCAAAAATGCAACACACAAGCTGGATGGAATGCATAAATCTATGCCTAACAACATACTTCCAATTCAACGGCCAAATATATGAACAAGTCAAAGGAACACCCATGGGATCGCCAATATCAGGTTTGATTGCAGAAGCAGTGATGCAAAGACTCGAAAATATAATTCTACCAAAGATCAAACCCAAGATTTGGATACGCTACGTCGACGACACATTTGTAATCATCAAAAGAAACGAATTAGATAAAACTCACAACTTAATAAACAACGTCTTCAACGACATCAAATTCACAAGAGAAGAGGAATCCGAGAACAAAATACCATTTTTGGACGTCTTAGTCAGGCGAACAACTACAGGAGAATTAGAAACTCAAGTTTATAGGAAATCAACTCACACAGACCAAATACTGAATTACAACAGCAACAACCCAATAACACACAAAAGGAATTGCATACAAACACTATTCAAGAGAGCAAGGACTCACTGCAGCACTCCCACCTTAAGAAAAATTGAAGAAAAGTATCTCATGGACGTCTTCCAAAAGAATGGATATCCACGGAATTTCATCAAGAGACATATACCCCCAAGCCAACCTACCAAAACAAAAGCCACCAAGGAAACACAAAGAAAATTGCCTTACCATATATAAAAGATATCTCAGAAATCACTACAAGACTCTTCAAACCTTTAGGAATTGACGTCGTACACAAACCAACAAAGTCGCTGCACTCAATTCTATGTCAACCAAAAGACTCAACAGCGAAAGAAGACAAAACCAACATCATCTACAAAATAAACTGTAACAACTGCGAAAAACACTACATCGGCCAAAGTGGACGTCCCCTTCGTCTTCGTATCCACGAACATAAGCTAGCCGTCAAAAGACATGATATCCACTCCCTCATTTCACTACACACAGACAACTACGGACATCAATTCGACTGGGACAACGTTCAAATATTAGACAAAGGAAATAACAAGAATGCTAGAGAATTTTTAGAAGCTTGGCATTCCAGTGGATCATCAATCAATAGACACATCGAGATAGACAAAATTTATCAACCAATAAGAAAGAAACTTCACACACAAAGGGTCAAAGTTCAAGTCAAAGAAACAACCGGTTCCAATACAAGTAACCTAGAAGGTGTGAAAACACACACAAACAACCAATCACGTCCAAGGTCACCAGGAGAGATGATTAATAAACTCGTGGAGAAATCTAAAAGCTCACTTCAAATTGAAGTATGCGCTGAAGATGTCACCCAGTAAGGTGATGAAAGCTTCGCAAACTAACCATCCAGCTCGGAGAACAAAACCACATCAAAATCATCCACCTGAGCTACAAATCTTCTCTATCATATCTATCTCCGATAGTCTTCAGCCATTGGTTCTTAGCATCTCGAGGACCCCAACCGGAAAGTCTACATCTACCTACATAACTGGCTCAAACCAACCGTCAGACTTTCTGGACTGATATCAGATTTTGCAAGGTAAAGTAAAAATCAGTAAAACATTCGGCAAAAATTACACTGCCTACCTATTTCAACAGGGATTTCATTGATATCGTTCTCACCAGCCATGATAACTTTTAGTTTAGTAAGTCGTCTAAAAAATATTAATGCGAAATAAACAAAAGATAAGCATACAGATATAAGGGCGACGACACTAACCAACAGATAGAAATACATCCCAGTATGAAAGACATTAAGGACATATAAGAATGCAAATTACACATGAGAAATTCGTCAAAGTATGCATTTGATTTGTCTTAGCATATAAGTTCGCCGTTCCTTAGAGCGTTGATTTCCATTCAAGGATAACATACTCCTGACAAATGCCATACGATACCATCCAGACATTATAAAGCTACTAAACAAATTTACCTGGGAAGCATATTTATCATCTTTTTTGGTTGATCATAATTAGCAATGGAACCACTACATGTACTTCGTCTTATATTGAACGTCGATAGGCGAGGTCATTCTCAAACAGAACAAAATGCTCATCCTGGATTTCACTGTTGGCTATTATCAAACAAATAACACCACGTTAACCTCCCTGTATCGTAGAGCTGTACGTAACAGGAGCCGACAAAAAGACCGAACATATAGGTCTAATGAAATCAACGAACAGGATCTTCAATATCATCATATAGCTAATGTGTCGACAACTTTTCTCGAATCGTTTTATAAAGAGGGAATACAGTGATTTCAGTACAATATGATGTAAAATTATTACCCATGCATACTATTACTGACAGTCGTCAATTTGCGAGAAATGGCGGAACCATCATCAAACGTCATCAGCGAATATTTGCCCGCAAGGACAACCTCATACATCCGACTGGCCATGACTTCTCACTACAACTACACACAACTTCATCCAGTAGGAAATCAACAGTCAGACCTGCATTCCATCACAATGGTTGAACAAAAGACAAGTTCGCTTTTTAACCTCAAGCGCATGCGTCCCAGCTCCGATGGGGTCATGGGTGCATACAACTCAACGATTCAAAACAAGGAACAAACAGTTGTCCAACACTCCCTCATCTTCAATCATTTCTCACCCAAAGTCACTTCATGATATAAACACGAAATCAGGGACAACACTTAAAAAATCAGAGTTGTTTCATATCGATTCTCAGGGACAGATTTTTCATGTTCAAAACTATGAGCGACACTTACTGATTCAGGGCTGATGATACTGTGGCCTGTGCTACTCACAAGATTTATAAGTAGTATACAAATACAAAGATAAATTTTAGATGGTTGGAGGCAATCGGCAGGAAGCCTTGGACCTAGGTTTCGTGTTAGGTCTTAGGACCTAGGTCGTGCTAGCACGAAACTCAGGTCCAAGGCTTCCTGCCGATTTCCTCCAACCATCTAATATCATAAAATCAATGTAAGCTGTAATGGCGAGCTACCTAGAATGGTGGCCACATTACAGAGCTGACTGTGATAGAATTCAGCTTGCAGCGAAGAAAGGACTAGACACATCACACTAGTTACTAGTGTCCAATCAAAATAAATATAAATGCGCACACCATCGACAAGAATACCGAATAGCCAAGAGATGGATTCAGTGGCGAAGAGAAGAAATCCACGGCGCCTGTCTGTCAAACAACATGGTAAAAATGGAAGAAAGAAAAAGGAGCACAATTTGGAAGACATGCGCAAATTATGATTCTAATAACTGGTAGACGTACTTTCCCTATATGTGTATATCGAGTTGTCAATAAATAATCCCATCACAAAATTCTCTTGTGTAATCACGTTACACCTACTAATAATGAAAATACTACACGTATGACGCGTTACGCTTTACGAGACAATCACCTCACACTGTCAACGCCAAAAACAAACCGGACAGGTCGAATACCGATTAGCTACAATACACTTGAAACAGTTAATAAAAACAAAAGATACGCGATTGATGACAGTTCTTGATTTCAACTGAAAAATATTCTAATACTTATTAGTGACTGACTACAGGATAGTGTTCGAGTGGAAAGTCATGACCAATGGGATTCACAAAGTCGGGTGAAGTCAATCGAAGACATTGATTGGTGGTGCTGATATTTATCGCGAAACAGTAGGAGTTAGAATTCGTGAACCATCAGATTGTATCCAAGCGATCGACGTGCAGGTCTCGCGTAATTAAAAAAGCGACAGGTTCCATCCTCAGTAGGATCATGGACACGTAATGCCAAAAGATTCCAAAACTAGGGCGAAACAACTGTCTAGTGCTCCCCGGTTTTCAGTGGTCCTCAAAGTGATGTCAATTCGTGATCTGACTTTGAACAATAAAAATAAGATATTAGGAAGGAAAGTAAAATAAATTGAAAAAAATTATACTTTGGCAATCTTGCTTACCCGATGCTCGCTGGAAATGTTTTTAACCGATTACACAGGACATTTAATTCTTGTAATGATGTTAAACCAGATAAGTCATCTGGCAGGGATTCTAATAGATTCGATTCCAAATCCAAAATACGTAGTTTTGATAACTGTGTAATTTCATTTGGTAAACACTAATGTGCAGTAAAATAAAAGTGTAATAACAATAAGAATAATAATACAGTTGAAAACATTTCTTTCATGTAGCACATTTAACATAAGCAACAATTGTGAAAAAAACACCATCAGTATTCAATGCATTCATAAATTTCGATTGAACTTGTCAGCTGAATAATTTACAAACATATGATTATTTTATATTGGTGTATGCATTTAACATAAATACAAACATGGGTAATAGCAAATACATATCCATTACAACAAGTATATATGATCGATAAGACGTAGGTGATAATTGCTTAACATAATTACAAATGATATACATATTAACAATACATATACAATGGAGCTGACGTTGATTGTTGCTATATCTATGGGTTTTATGAATGCTAGTTAACCTTATTATTATTATTCCTATGGGTTCCAAGCGGAACATAGGGCTTCAAAAGAAGAACCTTATTCCATTGTGTTCCCTGTAATCCTCTTTAGATGGAACCACGATCACTCATAAAGCTTTCATTTTATTGGCTGACACCAATTCCCCCCGCCCATTTCATGATCGAAGCAACGTCCAACTCGTCGTTTCCCCAATTGAGTTCCACTCAATAGACTGCAGTGTGCGCTGTTACTGAACTGTCTCTCCAGCGTGTATATTCAATCCATGTCTCCATTTCTTAATATTTCTTGGGTGATCGGTTCCTGGTTGGTTTGTTGCTAGAGTATGTTTGTACGTATTCATTCAACTAACGAATCCTATAGCATTCTTTAATTACTTATCCTATTTTCCTCGTTTACACAATTGTTACTTATTTCTAATAGTAACACTGTTGTTCGTGGCTGTTTGGGATTTAAGAGGTTAACCAATTGTTGATACAGTAGTGTGTCGGTTGATAAAGTTAAAGTCTACTCACCTTTTGTTTCTTTATCACTAAATAAGCAGTTTTAGTAACAAAATTTGTAGTTTCTTATTGTGATATATTATTTTAGGGTTAGTTATTTAATAATTAGAAACGTTCATCATCGCAAACAGTTTAATACAACGTGGCAGTGTATAAAACACAAAAATAATAATACTTCTGTCCATAAAAATGTATCCACCGTATATTATACAACACTACTAGAACTGAACATTTGGAACTGTATGCAGTTGGCAGTGTGAGTGCAAGTGATACTACTAGGCTGCCCGAACCTCGGCAGGTAGGGCGGGATTCGAACTCGTGAGGCAGTAGTTAGTAGTCAAACGCCTAGACCAATGATGAGCTACACCTCATGCCACTAGAAGAAACTTCATTAGTTCAAAACATAACATATTTGAACAGTAAAGACAGCAGGACGAAATAAAAAAACCGCCACAACCCCACTACAAAGCAAAAACAGCAACAGAAGAACAAGATTGCAAAGACATTCTAAGTACGTAGAGAGGAATGAAGATGAAATGTTATCGTATGGTGTTTTGTTTCAGCACAGTTACACTAAACAAACTTTTCATAAATCACGATATGAGATACATTTATTCCTTGAAGACTAAAGTAAGTGGAGCGGGAATCGAATCCAAGACCTATTGGTTAAAAGTCAAGTATTTAAGTCAATCAGCTACATTTCTACATTATTGTATGGTGAGTACTGTTATCTACTCGTTCTCACTTTCCGAAGATTTTTTTATTAACAAGTCACCAATTAACACGTGTATAAACTGAATATACTGGCTAGCTTTGGTCAAATCAAAATGAAACACTTTAGTCAACAGTTCACACTTAAGTAAGTTTGACAACTAGTGTTGACGGTATTTCATTCAAAAAAGTTAACCCTCAGAGAATTAGTTTGCAGGGATTTGATTTGTTTCATAGTTGGCCAAAGATTGACATCAGTTAGATAACCATTAAAAACCAACGAATACTGGACAGTTATTTTGTCCTAGTTTGAGACCTACCGCCAATTCGAACCTACTGGGGTTCGAACCGAGTCTTCCGGTTACAACGACAGTTGGTAGACCAATCAGCCACTGGAAACTGACTCCACGATCCATAAATTCTAACTTCTACCAATTCGTGGTTTTGGCACTGACTCCCAACTGGGTGGACGTCACTGATCACAAGGATGAAACAGATGTCTATTACTCCACTACTACTAATTCAATAGTTCTCCAATCTATAGCAATTCATGTTCAAACTTGAAAAGTTAGGCTGTAAATTTTACCATTGTAAAGAATTCAAACTAATTTCGCCAGATGTTTTTTTTACTTCTCGTGCACCCTTCACTGGATTCGGTTTAGTGTTCTAATGATAATTCAGGTGACAAATATATCCACACTGAGAGGACAATACAAAAGAAGGTAATGGTTAATTACATCAGGGAAAAGGTTATAATAGTTTTCACAGTTTCTGATGCGCAAGCAATGAATAAGTGGAGATATTTAAATAAACGTTCAGTTGGGCTTCAGCTCGACAGTGACGCAAACAGATTTAACCGACTGTTAGGACGAATGAATCTAAAAGTGATTTTATATCAAGTACGCCATCTGATATTATGATAGGCTTCTTCATTGACATTGTGGAATGCATACTGTAATTCTAAGAGAATTCTATCGAAATCTTTTGAAGAATTGGTAAGTAGCCATTGACTAACTAATAAACGCCGTAATCATTTTGTCCATGTGTTTATTGAAGCAGTTGATTTCATGATATATTATTAACTTGCGCATTATATTCACTATCTTATAAATGTATTCTTTTTCTTCAATTGTAAGGGTGGATTTTTCTGGACTGAAATGGTGTAGGCAGTATTTTTAAAAATATTTTATCTTTATCAGAATGCATAAAAAATACACTGAATGATCATGAATATGGATACTTTCTACTTTCCTATCATTTTTGTAACGAATCAATATGTATTGTTCTTTTTTAACACTTGTCTACATATAGAGAAATACTAATTCAATTTCTTTGCACTCAAATTCGTTGCGATGTATTCTATAGTGGCATAGTTTAAAGATGTAATTTATCGGAAGGGTGGTGGTAGCAACAGAAATAACCCTTTAACGGATAAGCTGCATTCATTACTGAATGCGCAAGGAAATACAAATGGTCTCTGAGTAATATTCGTTCGTTTGCCTAAGTAATACAAGCACATATCTGATAGTGCGTCGGTGGCACAGTAGTTAGGACTCTCGCCGACCATGCACATGGTCCCGGGTTCCAGCCCTCGCCGACGCACACCTGATATCTATGGTCGGCCTGCGAATTTTGGGCTACCGATATCCACGCTGAAAATTCCATACTTGTACCAAAAATACGGTGTGGAACCAAGCTGTGATCAAAAATAAAAAATAAAATACAAGAAATGGTTAAACTAAGTTAAATTAATTACACTAGAGTGAAGGTAATTATAACCCATTGGTTTTGAGTATTTCTATATAAAGATACCACAATATGAAACAAAGACAACAAATACAAATCTGGACAAAACAAAAATGAGGATGTAATTGGTGTGAAAAGTGTAATTTGTTTTATTTTTCACTCCTTTGTATTTCAAGTGGAACGTAGGACTTCTAGCTAGAGCTCTGAAATTTCAGTGGTGGTGGTGTTTTTAGTCTCACGCCCAACCTTCACACTTCCCCAGGCTTGCTACCGGCAGGGCAAAGATTAGGTGTCAGTCGGCAGGGATTCGGACCTCGGACCCCATAAGTGGCTGGCGATCGTCCTATTGCTTAACCACAGTTGTGTGCACACATTTAGGACATTCCGATCACACACAGACTTGTCATACGTATTTATATAAAGGGTAATATGGTATAATGGATCGCAACTGAATTGATATAGATCAAAATGTTTACGGGTCACGAGGTAAGGAAATGATATAAAAATAAAAGGAGTTGGAAATATTATTAATTAAAGCAGTCCTTGGTTCTAAAATTGGACTACCAGTGAGAAATAATATTCGAACACATAAAACAGGTTTACGCCTTTTGTAGCTACGGCTTAAACGAATATGAGTATATAATCCAAGTCTGTTTACGTACGTGTTTAAACACACTATTGAAATCAACCTTATGGGCTGCCTCTGAAATGTGCTTTGCGACCAATGCCGTTGGACATCTATTTCCAGGATTAATTGATTCAGCTGTTGACTTTATCTGTTCTTGTAGTCATTTAGGAACGTGTTCTGTAACTTCGACCTGCAGAGGTAAATGAGTCTTGTCTACGTAGGCGTAAGCACACATATATGAATGAGTAAACACAGTGAGATGTGACACTATCGTTCAGATGTTGTAAGAGTTCGCAGAACAACATAGATTTAATTTTCTCTATGAAGAGAGATTAGAAAAAGGTCGTAAAGCTGATTTCAATACTTCCTTTAAAAAGATACATACAAAGGTTTGAATCGTATACTTAGGTCAGATTTATCGAAACCCTAGTCATAAAAAAGTTTCAACCTGTTTTATATGATTAAAAATTATTTGTTAGCACGTTGGACCTGCACTGGCAACCCAGTTTTAAAACCACGACTTACATTACGTAATAATATTTCCATCACCCTTTATTCTTACCTAATTTTCCTTTATGGTCTGTTGCCTTTTATATAAACACATATAGGACAAGTACGTATGTGTGTGAGCGTGTGTGATCAGAATACCCTAAATATGTTGCATAAAATAAACACTACACGTTTCAGATAAATTACGTCTTCTTGTCGTCCTTTCGAAATTCCATCAAGGGAATTAATTGCTTTGAGGAAAAAGTCTGTTTCACAGACAAATAAATTATACAACAGCGATATTCTGAGAAAACTTATGAAAAAAGGAAGGAGCTTACTTCTTACTCTCTACTAGACAAAAAAAACCCAGTAATTAAAAGATTAAAATAACTGGTGAAAGTTAAATCCAGTTGAGATATAAACTTTCCTTGTTTTGACTGTGATGAACACAAAACTAATTAAAATATAAACTTTGCTATGAAGAAATGACAACGGGAACTTTCACACACACCCACACATTACAATAGCACACATACATGCC